AAAATACTCGAGAAAGTGACCGTAAAAAACATAAAGCGAATAGAATTTTCTCCTATGATAAAATAAAATATAAACGCATTGATCTATACATGATAATGTCAAAGAATGCTGGGCTTATATGAAAAATAAACTATTAACATAATCAACAATAAATCAAAGTTATTTTAAACTTTTTGTTTTTAAAAGAGGGTTGCAGTGGTTGAAGTTATATATGTCCTGAGAATATCGTTCAAAATTTCTATTTTATTCCGCATTAATATACCGAGGAAAAAATGTACTAAAACTTTCATAAATATTTGTTTGAACAGTAATAATTTAACATTCACTTATACAATGAACATTTATTAAATAAAAAAAATGATAGATAAATTAAATTAATGGTTCTTGTATCAATTAAATAAATATACATTTGCATTTAGTAAATATTCAAACAAGCATTTATTACAGTTTAATACATTTTTCTCTCAGTGCGTTAAATAGGATTCAATATTAACAATATAATGTGTGCTTTGTTGAAATAAGCACACACTTTTCACGAAAAATAGTTTGAGTACGGAAGTGATGACGTGTTTCACGATGTTAACATTATTATCTCGGGGAAACAACTACAATACAATTGCGATGGAAAGTTCCATGAAAAGAGATTCTATCGTGCACGAGTGGAAATAGAAACCGCAAGAGCTTCTTCGCAGCACGAAGATTAAGAAGATTCGTCGTTTTTTTCAAGACCGCCTTTTCAACTTTGCTCATTAATCGTTGTGACTCCTGTCATTCTTACTCAACATTTTTCTTACTTTCTAATTCTCGCTGATGAATCGATCTTGCCTTCAAATCGATCATTAAAACATCACTTTCCAATTTACAAAATCACTATTATTGTCCGCTAATCGTTACGTTATTCCTTTACTTTGTGACATATTTATTCTAATCAGAAAAATAATTTATTTAGAAAGGAGCTAGAAAGAGAAATGCAGCCACTTCCTATGTAAATAACATGATTATAATAATAATAAGGAAACTTACATGTACAGGTTTTAAAAGCGATATATATATATATGTATGTATGTATAAAAAGTTGCATATTTCATGTATCAAATATGAAATGTTATATAAATAATGTATTATCGAAGGTATTATTTTACATTTTATAATCAATTATATAAACTATTATACGTCCAAATAATTTTCATTAAACGTATAATATTATATAATTATATAATAAATTATCAAAATATTTGTATCTGACGCAATAAAAACATTTATCTTTCCGCATTTATTTTTTGTATACTCCTAAAATTTAACGCTACAACAATATGCATATATACATGTATATGTGGGATTTCTATCTCTAAAACAATACGTTAAAAAAATTAAAACGAAATCTCCATTGAAACCATGATAGACATTGAAATTTTTTCAAATAACCAATTCATTTGTGTAAAAACATGGCTCAGAGCATCAACTACATCAAAACAGAACATTATACAAGCATTGCGAAGAAAATAATAATAACAAACAACTGTTTCATTTCACCCGAATATAGATTTTCGATCTGATGCAAACCACACGGCTTTTACGGTATTGACCGCAAAATATCGGTAGCCTATCGAAACGCGCTTGGAAAAATCCGTCTTGTTTCTCGCGCTGGCAAATATTTACAAAAGATAGAAGCAGAATTTATTCTGCCGCCAAGAGGAAACCAGGGGTGCCTTTCAAATTAGCATTTCAATTTACCGCAGATGTCCCGCGTGTTGCAGCCGCGAGTCAAACGAGAACGATCGAGTTGAGTCGTGTTGAAGCCGGAATCGTCATCCGCCACCTGACATTTTCGATGCAAAGCCACCGACAGCGGAGCGGGGAAGCGTAACATTTACATCTATACGTATATACACATACACATTGCTAGCCTGCAGGGGCGTTTGTCGTATCGTATCCGTGCTTCACGCTCTGGCAATTCTCGATCGCTACTTTTTAGCCGAATTGTATCCAACGAATCTCATCGAGAACCAGAATCAAAGTGACAACGGATAGAGATATGAGAAATTGCACCGAAAGATAAATCATTGGCTAAAAGTTATATAATATTATCCAAATATTGCGTAAATGCAAGATGAAAACGAATATATTGTACACGGAAAAAATGATTTTACTAAAGTAAAATCATCTAAAAATTTAGTTAAATATAGATCTGAAAATAATTTTGTTGGATCATTAGGATAGAATGCTGGTTATACTGTAAGTTTGATGCTATTATACTTTTATTTACATTACATATTTTTATTATATTAAATATTATTATATGTAATTATTGTTTACATTTTATTGTTAATAAAATTATTATGTTAATTATTATGTAATTGTTACTATGGGAAATAATAAAAATTTCGAGTGTATTTACGTGATATTAGATAAATGAATACTGTCAAGAAAAGCATCCATATTAAATATTTGTAAAATATTATAATAACTCAATAATTCCACAATAATTCTTATTAATATTCTGATATTTACAACAAAATTATTAGTGAATTCAATTTCCGATGTTCATAAGTACGTTAATCATATTTTCGTTTTAATGAGTACATAGAGAAATTATTGTTTAGTATTTGCAACAATGAAAGCTGAACTCGCCAAATTTACGCAGACCTGATCCTGATCCGCATTGAATTTCGCCGACGTAGCGTTAAATAATAGCCTTGGTATTGCAAGGTTATATTTGGTATTATGTTTATTAATAACAACATTGTAGGTATATCATCAAACGGTGTGCATTTATATGTAATTTCAACGTGACACATAATTAAATAAAATAGAACATTTCGTAATAAGATTGATCTGTTTCAGTTAAATAATCTGAATTCCATCCATTATTTTCAAGATATTGATAATTGACTTGAAAAGTCAATTCTTCTAATTCATTAACAATAAAGTCTAACAAGTTTCTAATAAGTTTCAAAAAAATTTCTCTAATTAGCATTATTCGAAATAAAAATCAATATTTCCAATGACTTTTTTGTTCATCAAAAAAATCCCCAAGTTTCTACAGATTAAAAATAATTTCCAAAAATTTGTCTTTTTTTTTTAAATAACGTCTCAAAACTTCTATTAAAAATTATTACAATATAATTTATAATATATTGATTCTTATTGAAATAAAAAAAAATTATCGCTAATTTTCATTTAACTTAAATGTATTTAAAGATGTAACTATCAATTTTATATTTATTTATTATTATTTATATGATTATTTTTCACTTAATCGCCCAATTCTTTTTAACTTTTTAAAACGTCTGATGGAACTAAATTCGACGAAAATCAAAATTCGAAAAAATTTAAAAGTGTCAACTTTGTAAAAGTTAAATATTCGACTTTATTGATTTACAAATCTCTTCACGAATAACAATATTAAATTTTCCAGAAATGAAATGTTATTTCTCAGAAGATTCGTAGCTATATAGCATCGAGGATTTCTTTAAATGTCGATATTAAACGTTTATCAAAATAAAAATATTTTGTCAGATAATTACTCAGAAATGAATGACATTGCTCTCTATACCTGGATATGTATCTATCTAGATATATATTCCATTTATGAAAATCCGTGCAATGATTAACTCATTAATCATATAAATACCTATATGATGTATATATTTCTCTCTTTCCATCAACTTAAAAATTTTTATTCCAACTGTACCTTTTTCCCCTATTTATTTATCACGATAAAATTATGATTCTCACAAGGATACAAGATTATTATCATTGGCACATTTAAGGTATTAAACTACGCTTTATCGTCATTGGCGTTTGCTTTATGAACGATCGACATTTATATCTCTCTATGATGGTATCGTCGCCGAAGAAAAGCAAAATGATCGACGGTGAGATATACGGCGAAATAAACGTTCAGGATATAAAAGTGGTTGAAGGTAGTCGCGAAGCGATCGACCGATCGTTTTAAACGTGCTTAAATTAACTTGTGCAATGAGAGAGAGAGAGAGAGAGAGAGAAGCGTCCCGAGTCCTACATATGGTAAATGTCAAAAAAGTAATGTATAAGCCCCATAGGCGTCGAGTCGTTTCGCGAACATTATAGCAGCACGTAATTATTTTGATTGGCGGCCAATTACTATGCGTAGTTAGTTTATTTTAACGAAAATAAATAATTATCAAAATGGACCTCTTGACGCGCTATACGTTATTATCCTTATCGCATGCACATAAGATTGGCAGGCATGCAACATTGGTAAATCATCTCGGATTTGTTAATTATTAACGCTGTCTTCTCCATTTAGACTTCAAGTCAATATGATAAGAATCGAAAGCGATTTCTGTAGTTGAGATAGAGCGTAACACGAGAGAGGCGTGTGCCTCACGATAAATTATTCGTGTTCATCGTCAAGAAAATATACATATTTTAATATTCTTCAACTGAAGCAAACGTAACTAGAAAATAAATATTATTCAATTCTATATATTTATATACATATACGTAATACTGTATAAAAATTTAAATTTCTTTCTTTCTCAAGTCGAAATTACACGGACGATAATTTCAGTTTATAAAAATATTTCTCGTTTGCTTTTCAAGAGAGAATAACTCTGAGCAATTCGACCTGAAACCTTCGTGTTTCAGTTTAGAAATCTGATGGCTTTAATCGCGGTTTGAAAGAGACTTTCGAGAGATCTCAAGCAATGAGAAAAACGTATTGCTAAAACAGCTTGCTAAATGAAAGATCAGCATGCGTTCACCACTCGTGAGAGGCCGGAATCCAGCCGCGTGTCGGTTCTCCGTATTTTACAACGGCACGTGCGGCTCATTATGGCGGCAGAACAACGGCCTTCGTTACGAACAGGTACGCCTGTATGCGGTACGTACTGTTATCGTTAAGCATGCAGCGCGAATACGATAAACGATCGCGGATAAACGGACTATTCTTTAGGGCTTTCAAGCAGAGAAAGAGAGAGAGAGAGAGAGAGAGACAGAAAGAGAGAAAGACTCACCTTAGAGCTCGTTGTGTGGTCTTCATCTTCGATGGGCGTCCTGTCTTCCGCTCCAAATGGTATCTTCTTTCACCGTCCGTCTCCTATCCGCGCGATTTGTCTGCCTCCTTCCTCTTCGCTCCGCTCACGGCTGCTTCCCTCCGATTCGTCACACTCGATAATCAGCCGCGGGATCAAAACACTGACGAGAAGTTCGTCGATACGTGGAACAACTGTACGGTTGTTATTAAGTATCGAAAAGATCACTGGCGAAACGTAGAAGAATCAGCGAAATATCCTCGCACGCACTTGGATCACATTAACATCTCGCGAAAAACGATCACGGTCGCAAAATTAAAACATCACAGGGAGGTCATACCTTCGCGTTACTGTCGACTTTTCAAGGTTTCCTATTATTTAGCATTTAAGTAAATTATACAAATTAAATTGTTAAGTCTCTCTTTCGTTTCCTTACGAAAGAGACTAAGATGGGTCGTCGGGGTGATTTTATAATTTTCTTTCGGACGCTTAGGAACCTTCTCCTTCTGAACGGAAGTAGTTGACCGTCGATCGACACCTTCACCGGAGCATCACGAGGTGTAAAAGAGCGCCGCGAATTAGCTCAGTGGGACTCGCGGGCGACCGAGAAACTTAGGTCGCGAGCGGCGAAAGGCCTCGCAACCCGTCCTCTATATCTTCCTCTACCTTTTCCCTCTACGCTTTCCCCCTCTGAATTTAACCTCTGATTTTGCGGAGGTCCATTCGCACTTCTCGCTCTCTTCGTTGCTGCATATAATCCTTCCAAATTCGCGCGTAAGAATGAATGCATCCACCGAAACTGTAGACTCTCCGAATATATCAGCTAACCGTGGTGGTGGTATCAATTGTGGTTCCTCCACAATTAATATTCTTGGAGGAATACTTTCTATCTCGATTTCGTATTACTTTCCTATAATGATATCATTAAATTACTTTTTTTTAAATATACCTTAAATACCATGTAATTCCGTTCCTACTTCTCTCTTTTCTTGCTTCCCAGGGAGATCCTTTTCAGGAGTCCAGGTTCCTTTCCGGAACGGCCGCTGATCTCCCCGTATCGACTTCCTCGCTCGCTCTATCCGCCGGAAATCGGCACGGTGACCACGGAATCGCGCACGCGACGGCGCGCGCCGACGCGAGCATCGCGCTCGCCCACAAACGAGATGGGATCGCTAACCTGCTTTCCGATGCGTTTCGACGATAAAGCGTCGAGCGCTCCTCGTTCTCGATCCACGTCGAATCCGTGCAACCGAATATCCCGACGTCGATTTTTCAAATTCACACCCGTCGCCGAACTTTACGCATAAATCGTTTTGCTCCTCGTGATCTTCTTTCAATTGTTCTCCTGCCAATTTCGCCTTTAGACGAAGATAATGCAATCTTCTTGTGACGATAATGAGTTGCTAATGATAGTCCTCGGATAATTAATTTGAATGTTTGTTCTAGGATCGGCGTGAATTGATCTTTTTTTTTTTAATTTGGCTCCTGCTTTCAGATTAAAACAACACAGTCAGCTTTTTGCGATAATAAGAAAGTATTGATGAGAGAGAGAGAGAGAGAGAGAGAGAGAGAGAGAGAGACCTCGGATAAATGATTGTCGAATATTTGCTGTTTTATAATCGGTGTAAATTAATCTTCGTCTTCTCTCAATTGTGGCTTCTTCCTCCGAATGAAGACAAGCCAGCTTCTTGTGATAATAAGATGCTAATGACAGTCTTCGGATAAATGATTGTCGAATATTTGTTGTTTTAAAAGTCGATCTTTTGAGACACAATCAATGTGCCCCTCGTGGTCTTCTTCTCTTAGTAAATTTCCGATCTACAAAGACAAAGGTTACAGTACCATGAATTTGCGAAAAACTAGGGTAAGCCTATATTTCCTCCACGAGGAAATATAGAACTCGTGGTCGATCGGCGCGTTTCAGGAATTACAAAGAGAGTCACCAACACCTTGAAAAGTGATGCAGTTGGCACCGACGAAATGGACACCTATCGGCTTCCCTCGATTTTCCGCGGGCGTTTCAAAAAGCAACGAAATATGGTGGGCAAGATGCGATTCTTCCTTCCTTCTTCCTCCTCCTCCTCGTGTGATCGATTCGTCAATCCCACTTCAATGTCGCTCGATCGAGATCCGGGAGATTATTCGACACAACTCGCAGATCTCTCTTTTAATCCCCTCGACGATCTCGTCTCTCGTCTTCGAGCATTCCTCCTACCTCCTGCCGGCTGCCGAAAATCCTCGTATAGTCGTATATCGCGGGGAGCAGGTGCGGAAGGCGCGTTGGAGCCGGAGCACTTTGCGCCGTAAGGCAAAACCGCAGCCTCTTCTGGTCCGTAACGTGTGGAGCGACCGGCGCGTATATACGCGAGGACTGGTTTCAAGAGGAGAGGCTCCCTCGTGCCCGACCGGCCAGACTACTTCGCGGACGATAGCACGGGTCGACGAGGGTCCGCGCGCGGGTGCGAGCGAGACGGATACGTTCACGGCGCGCGAGGTGAGCGGAGCCGGCGCAGCACGGCGGAGAGCGCTCAGCGCGGTGGGTCCCGTTCCACGGAAAGAGGCTTTATTCCACTGAGCGCGAGGAAGTACTGTTACTTGTTAGACGGGGGCCCTGGCCGCAACGCAAGTACGTAAGTCGCAACGCGCTGCGACGCGGACCACGCGTATTTCGCGGAGTAACACTACCGAGCGCGTCAACGTCGACGAGAGGCGAGAGTCTTCTTTCTGACCTAATACGAATTTCTCGTATGACTAATGGTCACTGTAATTTGAATTATGGCAAGAACCTCCGCGGGAGTCAAAGAAGCGTTTCTCGCGCGATTCGAAACGCGTCACGTATCGATGAAACGTATCGATGAAGGACGTGCCGAACGACAATATATCGACTCGATTTTCGACTCGATGTTTCTCCTTTCTTGGCTCACTTCACGCACTACGCGAAACGCGAAATTCGTGCCACAATTGAGATTCTGTTCTCGGAGTCTTCTTCTTTCTCGGCAAATAGACACCTGATTCAACAGAATCACAGTATCGAGTCAGAATACAGTATGGAGTCAGAATATGAAACACTTTTTAGGGGTCCGAAGTTATCCGAGTGAAATTCTCACTGTGAACGGCGCGACGTCGCAGCCGCGCGACGCTTCGTACCCTCGTCTCGAACGCAACTTCCCGCCCGAGTGGAGAAAGCGCGGGCGCGAGGGAAGAAGGGGGTGGGGGAGAGAAAGAGAGAGAGAGGACGCGGCGCCACTGCGCCTCGTAAACAAACAACGTCTCGCGCGACGAATGTTTTGGGAGTAACCGCCACAAACGGACCAACGACGTTCTCACGTGTTCCGCGTCGCGTGCTCCGACGCGTATACGTAACGTTCACGCGCACTGGACAAAATACCTGGGATACGCTGGCTGAACTGGCTCTCGCCGGACGATTTTACAAAAGCAGCCGAAAAAACACGTGTGGGTGGACGGCGATTCAACCGGCACTCGCGTGTCGCCACCTGCTTTTCGTGAACGCTTCGCGTTCTCGTTTCTCAGCGCCAAGAAAAGGAGTCACGTGTGGGAGTCTGCGCGTGTGCCTCTGGCCCTGGTCAAATCTTTCGTCTTCCCCCTCTCTCTCTCTCTTTCTTTCTCTCTTTTTCTCTCTTCCGTCAACCAACACGGCGATTGTCGCGAGACGCGCGACACAAGTTCAAACCAACGTATACACAGCTCGACTGTCGCGGC